TTTTTGGGGTTTTTTGGGGTTTTTTGGGGATTGGAGCTGCTGGATCCAGGCGTGGAGCTCCTCCGCCTTGGCCCTAAAAACGGGAATTTTATGGAATTTTATGGGAATTTTATAGGAATTCTATAGGATTTGGGGTTTTATGGGATTTATTTGGGGTTTTTTGGGGTTTTTATGGGGTTTTTTGGGGTTTTTTGGGGACTGGAGCTGCTGGATCCAGGCGTGGAGCTCCTCTGCCTTGGCCCTAAAAACGGGAATTTTATGGAATTTTATGGGAATTTTATGGGATTTTATAGGATTTGGGGTTTTATGGGATTTATTTGGGGTTTTATGGGATTTATTTGGGGTTTTTGTGGGGTTTTTTGGGGTTTTTATGGGGTTTTTGGGGGATTTTTATGGGGTATTTGGGGGGTTTTGGAAGGGTTTTGGGGGGATATTTTGGGGTGAATTTGGGGGATTTTGAAGATATTTTGGGGTGAATTTGGGGGATTTGGGGGATTTTGGGCTATTTTGGGGTGAATTTTTGGGATTTTGGTCCCACCTGAGCCCCTCCTCCCGCAGCCCCTCGATGTCCATTGGGAGGATATTTTGGGATATTTTGGGATATTTTGGGATATTTTGGGGTGAATTTTTGGGATTTTGGTCCCACCTGAGCCCCTCCTCCCTGAGCCCCTCGATGTCCATTGGGGGGATATTTTGGGATATTTTGGGGTGAATTTTGGGGTGAATTTGGGTGTTTTTGGGGTCCCACCTGAGCCCGTCCTCCCTGAGCCCCTCGATGTCCATTGGGAGGATATTTTGGGATATTTTGGGGTGAATTTTTGGGATTTTGGTCCCACCTGAGCCCCTCCTCCCGGAGCCCCTCGATGTCCATTGGGAGGATATTTTGGGATATTTTGGGGTGAATTTTTGGGATTTTGGTCCCACCTGAGCCCGTCCTCCCTGAGCCCCTCGATGTCCATTGGGGGGATATTTTGGGATATTTTGGGCTATTTTGGGGTGAATTTGGGTGTTTTTGGTCCCACCTGAGCCCCTCCTCCCTGAGCCCCTCGATGTCCATTGGGGGGATATTTTGGGATATTTTGGGGTGAATTTGGGTGTTTTTGGGGTCCCACCTGAGCCCGTCCTCCCTGAGCCCCTCAATGTCCATTGGGAGGATATTTTGGGGTGAATTTGGGTATTTTTGGGGTCCCACCTGAGCCCCTCCTCCCGGAGCCCCTCGATGTCCATTGGGGGGATATTTTGGGCTATTTTGGGGTGAATTTGGGGGATTTTGGTCCCACCTGAGCCCCTCCTCCCGCAGCCCCTCGATGTCCAGCGGCCGCCGTCGCTCCGCCAGGATCCGCAGCTTCATCTCCCGCCCCGTCTGGCGCCGGCCCCGCCGCTGCTCCGCCTGC